TCAGAGCTAACTCCACTTTCTTCTCCAACTATCATTGCATTCACTTTACAGCACCCCCTCCAGCTTTCCCAACCTGAAGTAGTTCTGCTATACAAGTGCCCACCATTATTTATTTTTCTCCTCAAAACTTCCTCTCTCCACCATCCTGTGCCCATTATGCTCTGTCCACCCTGTGCCACATTCTATATCCATATTTTGTGGACTATGCACTTTCTTCTGGAAAATAGTTATATACTGGATTTTTTAATTTAATCTGCCCTAAACAGTAACCATGTTGGGTTGTGCTTTGCCACAGAAACCACCCTGTCAAGTTTTTAAGCTTACATCACTTTGACAGCAGGTGAGATTGACAACGTATTACTTTGATTCATTCAGGTCACACATTATTTCATAGAAATCTCTTTGACAGTCTTTATGTACACACATATATACATTTTTCAGATAACTCCTCTTCAGTCAGGTGAGCATGTCTTTGCAACTGTATTTTGTAATGCAGGCATACAATAAAACAGAAAAAAAAATAAAACATCTCTGCCTGCTTCCCTATACAATAAAAATTTTGTAACACTAATTCTTTTAGTTGCAATATTCATATAAAACCCGCTTTTTGAAATTCCTGTTTTATATCCTTGTGTCTCAGAGTTTCCTAAAGATGATCCACTTTTCCTATTACTAATACTTTTCAAAACTGCAAAGTCCAACAACATTGCTCCTGTTTTGGAGGGGAGCTCTGTCATCTGAAGAAGGCATCACACAGCAATCAGTTGTATGACCTTGTGAAACAGGTCATCTTTCCCTTACTCCTTAGTACTTAACTGAGATTTTCCAAAAATGTGTACATCTTTACATACTTGTTTTGCATTACATCCATATTTTAAGAGTATTAGATGTTAAATGGAGCATAAGTTACTATAAAATTTTCTCAAAAACAGTTTGTACAAATCATTAAATGCAACCTAGATGGGGCTTAGAGCAATCTGGTCTGGTGCGAGGTGCCCCTGCCTATAGCAGGGCAGTTGGAACTAGATGATCTTAAAGGCCCCTTCCACTACAAGCCATTCTATGATTCAGTGTATTATCCTTTTCTTTAAAAGCCACATTTTTTAAAGTCCCTACTTATCTTTCCCTAATGCATTAGGTACACAATGTCCTAAATAAAAACATTATCTGCTTGTTAGTACATTAAATTCTTACACGATAAGACAACTTGAAAAATGCCTCCTTGTAATGTTAAAATTCATCATCATATACGAAGGTGAATACTCTATAGGAAACTGCTACCAGCATGAGCTTTCAACATAGGGTTAATAGAATAACAGTCTAGAAATAGTTATTAAATGTTGCTGAATGAAGATAAAACAGGAATGCTTTCTCTAGCCTATGATATTGATCAGAAGTTAAAATACTCCTTCTCAAAAGGAATCAGGTGCAATGTGAATCTACATTGTAGAGCTATTTGAACCACCTGAATAGAAAAAAAAAAAAGCCAAATGTTCCCATGTGGGCATTCCCTCGATAGCCGGAACTCCTTTCACAATCAAGTCTGCTTAGCCACTCTTTTAACACAATTCTGTGACTCAGAAAACACAGGCTGGTTTAGATGCACAGAAACAGCCACATTCTTGGGGTAGTGATAACCTGTTTGTTGCTGTCTTCTATCATAATCTTAAAATAGAGTCCATTTCCTTGTTCTGATACTTTTAAGTAAAGGGAATAATCCCCAAAGCGTCTGATTATACACTGTGCTACTTTCAGTTCATAGCAAGCCTTTAAAGCTACTTTATAGATGTAATGATTCATACTGTTATCCCCAAATGAAAATATATTAACGAAGGCCTAACAACACTGTTTTCTCAAATGATTATTTCCATATACCACAACAAATGGCACACACTGAGTATAGCATGAATTCAGGCTTGAAATCTATGCGAAACCTGCTGTTATATTCTCCTTGCTTTGTTTCTGTATCTGGATGCAAACACGAGGACAAGAGAGGATCTACTCTCTTATATTCCCTGTAATCTTTCTGCTTTATGAAGACAGACTAAAAACACATATCTTGCTACATATAAAATATTTATTACCCGTAAACATTAGATGAGACAATTATAATATAAGCACTTTAAGGTTGTCAATCAAGTTTACCTATATTAGAGAGAAGCAAGGTCTGTCTTACCACTAACTCTTAGCAACAGTGTTCTCTTTTCTACTCCTAGGCAACCAGTTCCCACACAGCTGTTATTCCCTATTTATTCTTCTACAACTGTTTCACAGCAGATTAGTTGCAGTTGCATAAACAGAAGGCCACACTGTGTCTGAAAGTCAGAGGAGAAAACATGATCAACAGAAAATTGCTATGATGTCAGTTGTGAAAGTTGTACAGATGTACAACTTATGTCAATAGGGGAAGTAAAATCAGCTTACACTATTTAAGAAAAAAAAAAGCCTAAAATGTTATTCTCAAACTGTTGCTCCCAAGATCCGGTAAATCTGTGGAATGAAATGCAAACGTATTCCCAGATAGCAGTAAGAAAAAAAAGAAATTAAATGAAAATGCCCTGATTTGTCATCAGGTAAGAGAGTAAATAAAAGAAAATATTTCCCTGCATGAAAAGTTAAAGTGATTTTTCACAAAGAAGAAATGAAATTCCAAAAGGAAAAATCCTATAAAGGAACTATCAGATTACAAAGTCATCTGAGTTACTAGAGACAAGGAAAAGGGATTGAAGTGTGGAAGAGATATACAGCATTGCCTCTGTTCATAGTTTTTCTCAGTGATTAATGTCTCTACTTAAAACAACAATCAAACACTTGAAACAACAGTTCCAAGCTTACCTTAACTGGGCTCCACAGCAGGCACAGCAGAGGCAGGGCCTCTGAACCTTTAGCTGCTTCCTACAGGAATCTTGTGATTGGAGTTAATGTTGAGGGGGAAAAAAAAAAAAAAAAAAAAAAAAAGCAAAACAAGTCTAAAAGTTATGCTGACTTGATAATCTAACAATCAATAAATAAATAAATCACAGTCACTGTAGTCAGAGCTTCTGTAGTCAGAGCTTCTGTAATAATACCTTATTTGTATTTATACCAACTTTATTCAGTATATTTATTTAACATACTGAATCCTTTACAGAAAATTAAGGTCAGTAACAGCTGTGATAGTCACTGAGTTACTCTGCACAGAGAAATGGTCTAAAAAAAAATACTTGGAGACAGCTATAACCATTTGCTAATTTATCTGAACGATGCCAAAATCTGAGTTTCTAATAGCTTCAACAGCAATTTGTTGTGTAATAGGTAGACAGCAACACAAATCAGTGCTTGCTGACACCACAACAGTTCACTTAGATTTCAACTAAAGCAAGAAGAAGTAAGAGGTGTCAGTTCTTGACATAAAAGATTTTTATTTTGCTTTATTACAAACCATGTTATTAAGTGGGCCTAATAACGCAAGATAAGATCACAGAAAGCAAGAAAAATAGCAAAACTCTTTGTTTTCCAATAAACACTGCTTATTCCTCATACCAGCTTGTTATTGAGCTCTGTGGACCTCTGGCTGCATCAGATGTTGTCTAGGCTTGTCTTCAACAGTCTGAAACTGATTTAGCTTGTAATAGCAACTAACACACTAGCTATTACTGCCAAATTTGTTTTAGCTTGTCTTTAGCTTAGTACAAGTATATGCTGTAACATCTCCTTTTATACACAAGGTTTGTAGGACAAGACAAGTGGTTAAAACTATTAATCATGTGCAGAATGAACTACATTTGACTGTGGCATAAAGCACAATGTAGGTGAATACAGATGTGAGATAATAGCAGGAGCCGTTTATGTACAATTACAGGTTGCTAACCAAGATCCAAAGGTTATAAATTGAACTGTGCTACTTCCTAGAGGTCAGTCATTAGTCAAAAGAATACAGCCCTGGGAGATGAGCCAAAACTGTGGTGGGGATAACAAAGATAACACTATTCTATGATTCTGTGATTCTATGTAATACATGCCATGGACAGCAAAGTGGATGCACCATGTGACTGTGAACGAAGGTAGAGACAACAAAGCATAAAATTTGTTAACAACTTGTAAAAGCAACTTTACATAGGTTATTGTATGTAGATGAAGAAACTATCAGTATTGCAGTTCTTCTGTTAAAGTACATAGGACACTACTGACTTGCTGAAAGTGGCCAGTACATTTGTAGGTAGTTGGATTTTCTAAAAAAAATAAATTCTGAACTTCTCCATCTATTGAAAATAAATTGAAGCATCCAAACACGACAGAAGAATACATATGAAGGACAACGGTGTGTGTCCAAAAAATGAACTTTAATGATAAATACTGAGAGCAATAGAGAAATGGATAACATATAGTGTTGAAAGCATAGACTACACTGCATTTTGTAAATCTTTATCCTTGATTGACTTTGCTTTTTAGTTATTTTTTTCAGCTATGACAAGACTAACAATCAGAATTTGGCAAATAAAAAACGTTAGTCTGTGAGAGGATTGCTACAGTGCAGTAAATATTTTTGAGTATCATTTAATTTGCTTGTGTAAACATTCCTGTTCAGCATAAAGAGGAATCGCTGGGAACTTTGCCAACCCACATCCAAACTCAGTGTAAAGAGAAATTCTCAACCTCTGCTGCATAAGCAGCAATTAGAGGAACAACGATAGCTTCTTCACAGAAGACTTAACTCAGATCTCTTAACAGGAGAGCCAGCACATATTAAACTAAGGGACTAGGGCAAGAAGTGCATCTTAGCCTCTTCAAGCAGACATAAAGTTGTACGTATCTGTATGGGAACTGCTGAATCACAGCCTGAACCTCTGATTGATCACCTGAGGCGAGCAATGAGTCAGTCACAGGAGCACAGGTGAAAGCAATCCAGCTGTGCTGCCTGAAGGGGTGGAGCCTGGCTCCACCTCTCCTAGACCCATTTAAGAGCTGACTACCAGTGGAAAGGCTCTTCTCTGGAGATCCACTCCACTGGAGTTTCATAAGCAAGCCCAGGATACAGGTAAGCATCCTATCTTTTCTGCTTTGATGTAATAACTACATAGCCAAGCTCTCTGGTATACCTCATAACTATATAACATCTGTACATTCATTGATTGTGCAATATCTCATTAAGAAAGTTAGAAGTGCTGTCAGAATATATGATTTTGTGCACTGTAAGCTTCACATAGTTTTCTGACAAACACAGCAGAAAGATGTAATTCTGTAAGTAAATGAACATGCTTATAAAACTTTAACAATTAACTTGTTGACACCAGAGTAAATGAAATAAACATAAGCCTTTGTCAGCTAAGATTTAGTTGATGAATTTTTTTCAAATATATTTATAGGCTAGGCATTTTTTCCCCTCATGTTTTTACAGTTGAAAGTTAGATCAAATGGAAGTCCTTCTGAAGTCAGGTGCTTAGAAACCATTTAGAACTTTGAAACACTTCAGTAAAACACAAGAGGACACCTACTGGAGTGACTGTAGTGGACAAAGTAATCCAAGATAAAGGAAAAAATAAACATCTTATTGATGGAGCATTTTGTCTGCCAGCTGCAAGGTTTAACTTAGATGTGTCATAGCAATTTAATTTTCTTATTCAAACAAGAAAGCCTAACATTTGTTTTGTATGCTTATAATCAGTTGATTTTAAAACATGAATATTCATGCCTATTTTATTTCTTATTAATATTCCTGTAAACAACCTCTCCAGTCAGTTGTTATTATCAGAACCCTTGTAAGCACTGGTGGAGAAGGAGTCTTAAAAATAACAAACACCAAAGCCATGGAGCTAATTTAAGACTGCATTTTCCCTACAGTAAACCACTCAAATGTAGAGATATCTTTAATTTGAGTGGCACTAGGAGAAAAAGATTTTACTTAAAGAAATTAAAAAGATGTTTCTGTTTTCACTTGCATTTCAGAGCCAAAGACTCTAGAAATTCTCAGCTTCAGTGGGCTGAAGGCCACAGCCTTTTCAGGGAAAAGTAAACATTTATATTCTAATAAAAGCACCCTTAATATGGTTATTTGAATTTATTTATTTATTGTGCGTGATATCGTATTGTATGGAATAAATATCCTTTTGGTCAGTTTAAGTCATCTATGCTTGTCTCTGTACAGCACTACTCTCAAACAACTAGAAACTTGGTCTATTATCAACAGTACTTTTCTTGTTAAAACATAGCATCATATACACTGTGAAAGTAAAATCAATTCTTTCCCAGCTAAGCTAGGACAGAGACTCAGGGTATTGTCATAATCTGCCATAAGAAGTCTAAGAAGAATGAATATGGTAGATTTCTAATAGGACCACTCAAAAATACGACAGTGTAAAATTCTTTCAAGTGAATACTGTGAATAAGGATGAGATATTAAGCAGGAATTAAGTTAGCTACTAAGCTAGCTCTGGTAGGGTGTTGCAAAAACAGAGGAAAATATCAGAACAGAAACAATGTCCCTTGCCATCCAATACTAGGTATGCATGCTTGAAAACATATGATATTTTTTTTTAATTGAATCACTTTTTAAAAGCATGAAGGAGGCAAGGAAACTATTGATTTCTTTCACGTGGGTTGGTTACTTCCCATTACAGATGGTAGGACTTACAATTTATCTCTGGATATTTTATGTTAACGTGGATTATATGAACAGAATCACAGACTAAGAGTGACCATCTACTGAATTTGATTACCAGTAATTCTACCAATAAATAATAGTAATAAAACAATATAAAAAACAAAATAAAGCAAAGATTGCCATGCCTACCATCTGATTTATACTGTAATCAGACAAAACAGCAAGCCAAGACAGTATTTATTGAAAGTAACAAACAAACATTAATCTGTTCATCAAATTCCCAAACTTAAAAAAAACGTTCAAATACTACTTCTTCCACAGCTTTGAGGGCTATTAGCAATCCATATGTCCTGATGAAACCTATTGCTAGGGATGAAAGAATAATTATTTTTGCTCTCTGCAGATGGTATTTTGCTGCTTTCATAGGAAGGTTGAAAACATTCAGTTCATGTTTTCAAATGCGCAACATTTGCCAGATGCTATATTGAACTCAAAAACTTTTTTTTTTAAACTGAAATCAGAGAACTAATAGCAGCAGCTTTGACATCGCAGAAGACATAACACAAAAGACACCTGAAATAGGTTAAGAATACCAGTATCACAAAACATAGTAGTAATTGTTTTATTCATTTGTTCACCAATCTTAAAATGAAAGTAGAAACACAATTGAAGCTACGTCCCTTAAAATGAATAAAAGTAAAATATTAGTATACTTTGTCCTAATCCTTCTCTAAATATTAAGAGAAGTCTTCCTGCTTTATTTTTTTCTCAACTTTTAAACATTTGTAGCAGTAATATATAAACTTCTTGTGCAAGATATACTAACTCTTTTGCAAAAAAAAATGAGTACTCATTCATCATTTACCTGCAAATTGGTTTAAGCTGTTAGCTAGCATAATAGTGGAGAAAAAAATAGATAGGAATATAGTTATTTATATTTATATATACACACATGCTGTGTGATTTACATTTCTTAAAAGTTTTTTTTAAAGGAAATTCTTTTTTTTTTTTTTGTATTAATTTAGAAAGATAACGCCAACTTGAACAACATTTTCCAAGAGGATATAAAAAATCTGAATTCTATCTGTTATTGACAAAATAAAACAAAGAAATCTACAGATTTCTCTTGATGTAATCATGTACTGGAAATATTTTTGAGTCAGTAGTCACTATCATCAACTAACTATATGTCACATTGGACATGTAGTCAGTGCATCTGACCTTCACATGCCACACATCTAAATCATGAGCTGGAAGTATATAGACTTGTAGGAAAAAAAAATAGATTACAAAGTGCAGAAAACTAAAGCTCTTGAATAATCTCATAATTTAGTACTTTATTGGAATAGTATGTGCTATACTTCAGAGCTGTTTCTCAATCCTTGTGTTTCATTAGTTGATAGAGTTGAATAAATATTTCCTACCTATGTCAAACTTTTAATTATTAGTTCTACCACAGAGCAGGAAAATTATCATTCAAAAAAATCTAAGCAATAAATTCCATTAGGACAAGATTTTGAAGTATGATTTATGAGCTTTTCCATGCTACTTAAGTCACTCATGTGACATCTTACTCTCTGCCTGTGAGAGTATGTCCTCACATAGTCTAGATATCGCCTGAAGGTGAACATGACCAATCTTGCAAACTCTGCAATGATCCCTAATACTTTCTCAATCACTATTTGTAATGTCACTCTTCTGACCATCAGGCTATACTTCCACCACCCACTGTAGACCTTTTGGCACGTTGCCGCTAATGTATGCCTCTGTCCGTCTCCATATTTCATACTTTTGAAAACTACAGTGTCTGCTACTGCCAAACAGCGAGTAAATTGATTTCTACCCTTTCAAAATGATTCAGTAAGGATCAGTTTCTAGTCCACTCACTCAAGCATGTATCTACTCCTCTGCATTCTTTCAGGTTGTTGGTTTTTTTGTTTTTTTTTTTTTTTAAACACTGAATATTTAAAGAACTTTCCTTTACTAGAAGGGTTAGACCCTTCCTGCAAGCAACATACCTTAATTCAGCTAAATTGTTTCAAAATTGCCTTAATTTCTATAACCAGCTTTCAGCAGACATTTAGCATTTAGAAGGGAGGTTGGGCTTGAGGGCCTCAAAGCACTCCTTCCATTCTAAACCGCTTTAGGATTTTACATTTTCAGGTTCTTCTGTGTTTTCTCATACACTGATGTAACTAATTATTCTCACTTCAACCTTCAGGTCTGACCTACTGACAATTGTTTACATAGCCAACCAGTACTGATTACTCCCATGACCCCTACTGTCTCTGTAATTTCACAGACATGGACTACAAACTCTTCAAGTTCTGTTTATCAGCTCTCGGATGTAAGATGCTCTCTATCTTAAGACAATCCTTACTTTCTCTTAAACAGAGAAATCAAATCTGCAATGTAATATCTAATCAATTTCTTATAAAAATGTATTACGTTAGTAAATGGAAAGTGATTACTGTCTCAACATCTTAAGTTATATAAAAAAATTACTTCCACCAGAAGAATAAACTTTTTATATATGCCCATCACAATCTGTTTCTAATATACATACTTGAAGTTGGAAATATGTAAAACTTTCACAATATTGGATGCATCAGCCAGCCATTTCAGCTTGCTTTTCACTGAATTCTATTACATTCAGTCAGTGAAAGTCTTGACGTGCTTTGTATTTTCAGGATCTCTGTCTTTTCAGTATTTTCAGAACTCCTACTTAAATACATTTTGTTATCAGTGGGAAGCATTTTCTAAAACATCAGTGCAATTCAAGAAGTCCTAATTGAGTCAAGGGAGTTTGCACTTCTTGATTGCATGCATACTTTTCTACTTCAAGCATTTAACAAGAAATCTTTTTTATTTTTATTATTCTTGCAACATTTTTTCAGTGCTTTAACTAATTTCCTCTGAAGGTAAAACATTTTTCATTTTCAATTATTGGAGTGGAAAATTGCACACATTTAAAAATTTATGAAGTAGTATGTAAGGGCCTGTGGTCTCATCAAATATTTATGGTACGGCACCATATTTATTCCACGTACTTGTTAAATTTGCTTGAAGTGCCCACTGTGATTTGTTTGGCAGAGCATAACTACTTATTTTTCCATAACAGTCTTGTGTGTGTTTTGTACAGTATCATGTATTGTTTGAACTGTACCAGGGAAAAAATAAGTGTAACGTTGCAGAATGCTTTTCATCTCTGTTAATAGAGGGTAGCTTCTAGTGGGAATCCTGGACACCACTTTTATGCGGTCAGCCAGGGAAACTTAGAAAACCATCTACAAAGCAAAATACTTTTAAAAGTGATTTCATGATAATTTTTGAATACAACTGAAGTGTTGCATCAAGCTCTGTGAACCTGGAAGGAAAGTGTCAATTCTATTTAGTGATGAGGTTATTTCAGGTAGTTACGAAAATCTCATTCTTAA